TGGCACTGCTGGATTCCTCCTGTCCCACTGGCTCTGCACAGGATGCACACACACAGCACTGGAGGGAAGGACAGGCAGCTGTCCTGTGTCCATCCAGCACTCCCAACCAGGTCTACAGCAAAGGAAGAGCAGAGCTCCAGGCTGGGCCAGAGCTCAGGGGATGCCCTGTCTCAGCAGGAAGGGGAAGGAGCAGCAGGCAGCACCTACCAGGCTCCGTGGGCTGCAGCACAAAGCGTCTGTGTGGCTCCAGGCGCAGCAGCTGGCAGAACTGCTGCACATCTTCAGGGCAGTTCTGGGGCTGGATCATCACCACGTCCCCTGCACTGAACCTGGGGATGCAGGGGGAGCTGCCAAGCACAGCCAGGGGGCAGAGCCACAGCATGGCCACCCCCAGCAGCACCCGGGGAGGCAAATTCCCAGTGCCAGCACCAGGCAAAGGGAGCTGGCCCATGGGCAGGACCCCCACTGCAGCAGGGACCACGACCACAAGACTGCAGCCTCAGATCTCAGTGAGGAAGGGCAGCAGAAGAGCAGGGCAGGCTCCAGGACACCTGGTCCCACACAACAGAGCTTGGGGGAGTCAGGAAAATGCTCACGTGATCCCTGAGCCCGCGATGTCAAACTCGATGAGCCGGACATCCTGGAAATGGGCAGGTGCTGTGAGCCTCTGGTTGGACACCACGCGGGCAGGGAAGGGCTGCAGCTCACAGGGAGCCCCCCGGGGGGGTGCTGACTGCAGCAGGGCACCCTCAGGCTCTGGGCAGTCCTCAGGCAGGTAGTGCAGTGTGTATTTGGGGGGCAGGCTGTGGGAACGACAGCAATGCAATGCAGCAGGGTTACCTCCATGCCACAGCTCCTCTGCTGCTGCAAGATGAGAGGCAGGGAGAGGCCTGGAGTGTCCCACCAGCCAGTGTCCCCATCCCCTGGAGCTGGCCTGTGTAAGGGAATGCAATGGAGACCACCAGGAGGAGATGCCAAGGCTCCTGAGCATGCAGGGCACACACACACTCTCTGCCAGGGCCAGAGGCACATCAGGACAGACAGATGGGCAGAACAGTCACAATCCCCAGGGGAAAAGGGGACACCCATCCAGAGAGAGATGGGCCACCTGTGGCCAAAGCACAAGTGACACTGGGGATACCAGAAGCTGTATGGGGAGCGTTCCTGCTCCAAGCAGAGCCCATCTCCACTCTGGAGAAGAGCCAAGGCAGCAGAGTCTTTCACCCCAGGCAGCCCAGCAGCCCTGCTCACCCTGTGCACTCACCGCATGTCGGGACTGATGATCTCAAGGCCAGGAGGGAGAGGATACAAGGCAAGGATCTTCTCCCACAAGGCCACAAGCCAGGGATCAACCACTGCATCTGGCCTGCAAGAGGGAAACTGAGGCTGCAGCAACATCATCCCTTCAGGGTCCAGCCCTGCTACCCCTGCCCATGCCAAACAACCACTCCCACAATCACCCCAGGCCATTCCCTTCCAACTTTGGGTCTGGGAAGAAACACCAGACTTGAAATCTCAGCCACTCCATGCACTCAGTTGCTCTCCAGGGCCCAACCACTGAGCCCTGAACAGGATCTCCAGCCCCTGAGCAGCACTGGGTCACTGTGTCCCTGAGCCATCCACAGCCTTTGCCCCGTGCCAGGTGGGCACAGCTGAGGCTGCTGCAATGCCTGCAGGTACAGGGCTGTGTGGCACAGCCATGCCCTGCTCTGCACAGGGCAGGGGCTGAGCCAGGGGTCATGGCCATGTTCTGGGGACCATGGGACACCCTGGAGCAGCAGGTGGCCCAGGTGCTGGCACAGGAGGGTTATGAGCAGGGATCAGCACATTCCCAGAGAGCTGCAGGAGCAGCCCCATGGTGGGAGCAGCACACAGCCCTGCCATCAGCCCCAGGACAGAGCTGCAGGGCACCCTGGGGCCCTCCCACCACCCCTCCTCTGGGCTCTTACCCCAGGTCATGCTGGTCATCTCCCAGGGCCACGGGCAGCAGCGGGTTGGCCCCGAGCTGGAGCAGCCGTTTGTGCAGCTTCTTTGCAATGAAATTAAACCTGAGCAGAGAACAACACAGGGCAGGGCTGCTCCAGCAGCACAGCAGGCACTGCCACAGCACCAGCACACACTGTCAGGGCCACCAGAGCAGCACACATGCAGAGCCAGCGCTGTGACCTGGCCCATTGTCCTGCCCAGCCTGTGCCAGCTCACAGAACCAGCTAAGTGTCACTTGCTGGCCCTCACAGGCTGTGCCCAGCCCTGAAACAGGACAAGGCGAGATCCAGGTTCCCTTTAAGACAGCTTGTGCCCTGGGCCATGGAACATTTCCTTCCCTCCAGCCCCTCAGTGCCTCACAGAGCTCAGGCACACCCATCCCTCCCACTAGAGCTCTTTGAGACACAGGAACCTCTCTGGGAGAGACTTGGGACCAGCATGGCTGGCTGCCATCTCTGTTTGATGTCCCCTGTTGCCTTGGCACACAGCTGTGATAAAAGACTGACACATGATGTCTGACCCACCAAAGCATCCTTAGTGAGCTTGGGAGGAAAGAAAAAGGCAGCAGCCTAATTCCTGGGGGTGAGGTGGGACACAGCAGGGGAAGGGTTTTTAAGGCTGGTGGGAGTTACATTTTGTTTGAGTGCTGCTCCAGAATCAGACTCTGTCTCCCCTTACCCCCTTGGCTCTCCAGCCACTCTGCTCTCCCCTGCAGCTTCCTGGGGCTGCTTACTTGGGGTAGGAGGAGTCCCCGAGGCCCAGCACGGCGTAGTCCAGCTGGCACAGGGCGCTGCCAGGGAGGCTCTTCCGGAACAGGAACCGCCAGAACATCTACAACAGGCACATGCAGCCAGTGCTGCTGCTGCTAGGCACCTCCTGCCTGCCTGGCCCTGCTCCCTGCCCACCCAGCCCAGCCGAGTGGGGAGCACGGCTTTCTGCTCAAATGCCCCTGCTCCTGTTCCCTGGCATGTGCCTGGTGCTGCTGCAAAGCTCCCCCAGCAAGAACAAGCCCAAACTGCCCCAGCAGAGAGAGCCCTGCAGCAGGAACACACAGCAACAGGACAGGAGCAGCTCCTACCTTCATGTTGTCAGGTGGGTCTCCCTGGCCTGTGGTTGCACACACAAACACCACCAAGGGCTCATGGATGAGGTTGGCCTGAGGGTACAAACACAGCACAGTCAGGTCAGCAGCCTCCAAACTGCTCTGGAGCCAGGATGGAACAGCTCAGGGTGTTCAGCCTGGGGAAGAGAGGGCTCCAGGGAGACTCAGGGCCCCTGCCAGTGCCTAAAGGGGTTCCAGAAGAGCTGGAGAGGGACTGGGGACAAGGCATAGAGGGACAGGACAAGGGGGAGAGTCCATAAGCTGAAGGAGGGCATGTTTAGGCCAGATATTAGGAAGAAATTCTTCCCTGTGAGGGTGATGAGGTTCTAGAACAGGTTGCCCAGAGAAATTGTGGCTGCCCCTGGATCCTGGGAAGTGTCCAAGGCCAGGCTGGACAGGGCTTGGAGCAAGCAGCACCAAGCCTGTCTGAGTCCAACAGCATTTGGACAACGCTCTCAGGGACAGGGTGGGATGGTTGGGGTGTCCTGGGCAGGGCCAGGAGCTGACTCCATGATCCTGATGGGTTGCTTCCAACTCAGCTTGTGCCATGGTTCCGTGGTGCTGTGGGAGGTGTCTGTGCCCATGGGGTTGGCACAGAGTGGCAGTGCCCCAGCAGCCCCGCGTCCCACACCCACACTCACCAGGTCACAGCAGCCCCGTGTCCCACACTCACCAGGTCACAGCTGTCCAGGGCCTGCACCCGGCAGCGCAGGTGCCGTCTCTGGGCCTCTCTGCCCACCCTCTCTGCCGTGTCCTGAGCTGTGCCAGTCTGGCTGCCAAAGAGCACCAGGAGTCCCTTTTCTGCCATCTGCAGGAGACAACAGCAGGGAAGTCACAGGAGGGAAGGGACAGGGGCTGGGCAGGGCTGGGCTGAGCAGCACCGACCCCCAGGGGCTGGCACAGCACCCAGCCAGCACAGGCATGGTGAGCAGCTGGCATTCAGCAGAGCGAGTCAAAGCTGCCAGGCTCTCTTCCCACCCCTGTGCAGCACTGAGGGAGGGATCCCATGTCCCAGCCCATAGAATAAGCAGGGACACTACTGTGCTCCTTGTCCCCGTGCCAAGCCAGGGGAGTGACCAAAACTCAGATCCTGCCCTGCTGAACTGCCCTCAGCAGCACAGGGTGAGCACAGCCCTGGGTGGGATGTTCCCCAGTCCTGGTGTAACCTTCCTGTGTGCCCTGGGAACCCTCCCTCCCCTGGGGCAGGGCCGGGAGGCTCAGTGACAGACACAGACACCGAGCTCTCAGCCAGACTCTGGCAGAGCAGGGGGCCAGCCCAGAGGGGATCCAGCCCTGGCACCTGTCTGAGTTGCAAACAGCTGCCATCACCATGTGCCCACAGAATAATATTAAATTAAATCATAATAATGTGAAATAGAATCGCAGAATCCCAGACTGGTTTGGGTTAAAAGAGACCTTAAAGCCCACCCAGTGCCAGCCCTGCCATGGCAGGGACACCTCCCACTGTCCCAGGCTGCTCCCAGCCCTGTCCAGCCTGGCCTTGGGCACTGCCAGGGATCCAGGGGCAGCCACAGCTGCTCTGGGCACCCTGTGCCAGGGCCTGCCCACCCAGCCAGGGAACAATTCCCAATTCCCAATATCCCATCCAACCCTGCCCTCTGGCACTGGGAGCCATTCCCTGTGTCCTGTCCCTCCATCCCCGGTCCCCAGCGCCTCTCCAGCTCTCCCGGGGTTTCCCCTCTCCAGCTGAGCACCCCCAGCCCCGGGGCCCGGCCCGGCGGCTCCGCGGGACTCACCATGGACGGGCCCCATGCCGCCTCTGACGTCACCACTTCGCGACAGTCCCCGCTGACGTCATCATCGAGGCAGACGGGCCGAGGCTCCCCGCTCACCGTATCTCCGCATGATGACGTCACCCGCCTGTCGCCTCTCACCGTGACGCCATCGCCCCGCGCCGCTGGGCCGGGCCAGGCCGGGCCTGGTGCCGGTACCGGTGCCGGTTCAGGTTCAGGGCTTGAGACGGGGACCGGTGTCGGTGTCCGGGCCGGGCTGGACCTGGTCCCTGGCTGGGCCAGGGCTGGTGCCGGGGCCGGGCCGCGGCCGGGGCCGGGCCGGTGCTGGGTTAAGGGCCGGTGTCGGTGCCGGCTTGAGAACTTGTGCCGGTGCCGGTATCGCGCCGGGCCGGTGCCGGTGTCGTTGCCGGGTTGAGGAGTGTCGGTGCCGGTGGCGGTGCCGGTTTAAGGACTGTCGGTGCCGGGCCGGTGCCGGTTTGAGGAGTGTCGGTGCCGGTGCCGGTGTCGGTGCCGTTACCCAGCGCGGACGATGCTGTTCTCCCTGCGCGAGCTCGTGCAGTGGCTCGGCTTCGCCACCTTCGAGATCTTCCTGCACGGACTGGCCCTGCTCGCCTTCTCTGTGCTGCTCGTGCTCAAGGTGGACGGCGCGGCCTCCGCGCTCTCCTGGTGGATCGTGTTTGTGCCCTTCTTCGCCGCCGACGGGCTCAGCACCTACTTCACCACCATCGTGTCCGTGCGGCTGTTCCAGGACGGCGAGAAGCGGCTGGCGGTGCTGCGGCTCTTCTGGATCCTCACCATCCTCAGCCTCAAGTTCGTGTTCGAGATGCTGCTGTGCCAGAAGCTGGTGGAGCACACGCGGGAGCTCTGGTACGGGCTCATCATGTCGCCCGTGTTCATCCTGCTGCAGCTGCTCATGATCCGGGCCTGCCGCGTGAACTGAGCCCGGGGCCGCTCCCGGCGCTGTCCCGGTGCGGAGGGGCCGGTGACAGGCGAGACAGGGCCGTGCCCCGCTCGCGGCCGTGCTGCAGAGCATCACGTTCTCCACACATCCCTGCACATCCCTGTTCGTGCCCCCTCAGCCCTGCCCTGTCCTGTGCTGTGAGCGCGGCTGGGCGTGACACTTATTTTATTTTAGAATTAAAATGGCTTGAAGGATTGAGTTTATTTATAAATTCTTCTTGCCTAGAAAGCTGTTGTACCTCAAACTGCTGCCTGGAGGGTGGGTGCTTGCTGTAGATCTCCGGGTACAGCTCAGACTCCTGCCCTGGCCTGCCCAGCAGCTGGCTCATGGATTTCCATCTGTCCCCTCACCTCCCTGAGCACTTCACACCTTCACTGCTCTGACAGGGTTTGTGAGGTCATGTTGAGATCACTGGTGTGTGTATTTTTGAACAGGAATATGATTTTTCTTTGTGTTTCACTCCATTTCCTAAACATGGAGTTGGGGGTGTGGGGAGGCAGGAGCATGCAGGGCTGATGCTGGTTCTGAAGGGGGGGTCCCACTGAGCCCCACCTCGGGCTGCAGCACTGTCCCCAGACCCCCAGAGAACAGGAGGAATTCAATATTCCCTGTGGGAATGCAGACCAGTGTGGGGAGTGCCAGTGTCACGGGGGTAGCCAGAGTGGCACTGTTGGGGTGTCTGTGCAGGGCCGGGAGATGCCCTGGATGGTCCCTCCAGCTCAGGAGGATCTGTGGTTCCTGCACACCCTGAGGTGGCTCTGGACCTGCCCCACAGGTGCTCTTCAGCTCCTGTTTCACGTTGGGATGCTCCCAGGGCTTGCTGTCACCTGCTCCAGGTGCTCAGGTTATTCCTCTTGGAGCCTCTCTCTGAGCCAAGGACACAAACGTCACCTGGGGGTGGCAGCGCCTGCCCCTGTCACCCCTGACTCACAGCAGTGTGAGCTCATCCCCCTCTTGCTGTGGTTGTGCCACATGCCCCCAGTGACCCTGAGTGCACAGGCCAGGGGTGTTGTGTGCCCTGCTGTCCCCAGAGGGGTGTCAGCAGCAGCAGGGTCACTGGGGCTGGGAGGGGCTGTGGGGTGGGAGCTGCATGGAGTCAGTGGCTGCTGCAGCAGCTGAGGGACAGGAGAGGAGCAGGACAGGCAGCAAAGCCTCTGAGTCAGGAGGGGACACTCACAGAGTGGTTTTGGGGACTGATGGTGCCTTTGGACACTCCCACAGCTAATTAATAAACTCAGGAAGGGGCTCATCAGCCCCAAGGAAGATCAAACAGATGATCACATCCCTCAGCCTCGCTGCACAGCACGGAGCCCTTTGCTGCTGCCCAGCCCTGCACCCAAAGCAGCACCAGCCTGGCCCTGGGGTGCTGTGTGACACAGGGGGACATCTCCCCGAGGGCACATCCCCACCTGCAAGGGGCTTTGCCGGTTTTGCTGCTGCCTTGGGGACAAACCAGTGGTCAGTGTGTGCCAGCTCTGCTCCTCCAAGGTAAGGCAGCTTCCCTGGGGTTGTGGGGACACAGGGGTGGCACACCATTGAGCAGTGGCATGGGCTGTGCTGCCCTGCTGGGGTGCTGGGGTGTGGGGAGCTCTGGCAGCCAGGACCACCCCGTGACCCCTCCCAGGACTCGTGCTTGGTGCACAGGAGTCACCTGTTGTGCCCAGGGCCACCAAGTCCTGGAACAAACCTTGTTGTGGCCTTTGCCCTGGCACTCAGCAGTGTGCATTGCTGGCACACCACCCTGTGGCCACACAGAATCCTTTCTGGGATCACCCCCCATGCAGAAATGCTGCTGGATCCCCCTCTGACACAGCTTGAGGGGACCCTGACACCCATTCCCTGCCCAGTGCGAGCTGAGGTGTCTGGCCTGGGCTGGAGACTCCTCAGGTTCCAGCCAGAACTCTTCCCCACGCTGCAGTGCACCCTGGCAAAGGTGAAAATGTCACCTCTGGGTTTGTTTTATTGCTGTGGCTGCTGGGTCCTTTCCCAAGTCCTTTCCCAAGGCCAGGGGCGCCCTGCTGCTCTGGCTGTGTGGGTACCCTGGGAGGGAGGTGCAGCTTCCCAGGCTGCTGCAGACCCCAGCCCTGAGCAAGGACCCTCTGCACACCCAGCCTGGGTGCCAAAGCAGCATTGCTGTGGCACAGGGGCAGCACCAGCCCCAGCTGCCACCCTTGCCCTGTGTCCCAGCCCCTGCAGGGACAGGAGCAGCCCCTGGAGAGCCATCTGAGCCTGGGGAGGGTGCAGTGCAGGAGAGCAGCCAGTGCTGCTGCTGTGCCCATGCCCAGAGCACAGCCTGGCACAGCCCAGGTGGGCTCCATGCACAGGGACAGGGCTCCAGCACGGCCTGGGCCTCCAGGGGGGCGAGGGAGCTCCCAAAACACATCTGGGAATGGGTGGCCCAAGGCACCTCCACCCCCCCTGAAAGCTGCCATGGGCAGGGAAGCGTCAAATGGCCCAAACTTCTCCAGTCCTGCTGGAATCAGTGGAGGGGAGGGCTGGAGCTGGTCTGTGCTGGGACAAGTCACAGCAGGACCCAGGGAAGGCCTGGCAGAGGGACACGGGGCAGGAGCAAGTGGAGCAGCTCCCTGGGGACATAGGACAAGCTCAGAGCCACCGCCTGCACCTCCCATCCTGGGACTGGGGTGACCTCACAGAGCAGAAACTGAGTTCTGGGAAATGAGACTCGCTTTTTTAACCCTGAGTCAAGATGCTTTCCTTTGAGAAGGCACCAGGAAGGTGCTGGCAGAAGAGGTGATGTCATTTGACAAACAGCCTCCAGCCAGGCAGCGGTGGCTGGGCTGGAGCCCCACAGTCCCCACACCAGCCTGGCAACTCCCTGTGGGTGCCAGAGCCACTGCAAGGGCCACAGGCAAATAAAAACCTGTCAAAAGCAGATCAAACAGGGGTGTGTGTGTACTCTAGCCACGCTTCCCCACAGCAGATTTGTCTATCAGAAGTCAGAAGGAGACACTTGGTGCCTCTCTCAGTCAGGAGCAAACAGCACATTTCACTCTCAGCAGAGCACGGCCCTGAAGCCAAACAGGGCTGGGCTGATGTGCCCAAGGACCTGAGGGGAGCCACGTGAGAGCAGCTGCTCCTGGGGCCATGGCCCTTCCAGGTCCTGCTCGGACACCAGAGAGCCCTGAGCCCCCAAATTTAGCAGAGGCACCCTTTGGTGGGACTGCCTGAAGGAAACTGAGGCCTGGGTGTAGCACAGAGCCAGTTGTGGGGAGGGTCAGGGCAATGAGGGCTCCTCTGCACAGCATTTCCCTCCCAGGACGGCCCCGTTTGCCTCAGCTGGGATAAGGCAGCTGGAACTGTGTCCTTCCACAGATCCCTGTGGTCTGTGGCTCACAGCCAGAGACCAGCCAGGGCAGCATCACTGGCACAGCTGCAGAGCTGCACATGGGGCCAGCATGGGCAAGGGGGAGCAGCCCCTCAACAAAACCTCTGGGGCTGTTTAGTACAAAAAGGGACAGGAAAAGTGAAGAGTTGCTCATGCTGTGTTAGGGTTTGGAGCTGGAGGTTTTGGCCAGCTCTGGGTGCACACAGCCACTGGCAGCGCCACATGAGGGACAGGGCTGGTTGGTGCCTCTCTGTCCCAGGTGGGGACGGGACCCCTGTGCCCAGAACAGCCCTGTGCAGCCAGCAGGGGATTTCCAGAGCAGGGACACTCGGCCACCCCTCCCACTGAGCCCAGGTGAATGCAAAGGCTGTGTGTTGTGTGGAGGTGGGAGTGCAGGAGCGGTGGCGCCCTCTGGGCTTCAGCAGCCGCCCCAAAGGACACTGCCATGGGAGTGTTGGCATGCCACGAGCCCACAGACACTGTGCTGACATGCCATCATATCACAAAATGAAAGAGTTTGTGTTTATTTTGTTCTTTCAGCTAAGAGTCAACTATGTTTTTTCAAAAATAGGGTGAGACTTACAGAAAATGCACTGTGGACATTTCTCTAAGTGTCAGAGAGGGGATTTGTTAAAATGAAGTACCACAAGAAGGTTAAAAATTCACTGCAAGACAGGACAAACAAAAGAACTTATGAAAGTCTTGAGAATAACCAATCCTGCAGTACCTGAGAGCCATAACCCCAGAACTAAAGAGCAGGAGGACACTATAAATCAAATTACAAAGCCAAAGAAAAACTTTGTGTGCTTCCAGTGCTCATTAGCATGGGGAAATCCCTGCCCACAGGCTGTGATCACCCCTTACTCACAATAGCCCCTTCCCCACAGAGCAGGAGCAGTAAAAGAATTGTGCAGGGTCTCTTTAAAGGAGGCAAAGACTGCAAATAACAATGGCTGCACCAGTTGTGGTTAGCTGTAAGGAAATGCTCATTTCTGTCGCTTCAAATGTGCAACAATGGGCACCTGGCATGCTGAGGGTGTGTCAGCTGTGATGCACCACCAGTACCCATCTCGGCACAGAGGAGAAATAAAATAATTCTCAACTCAGAGCGTGAACCTGCCCCTGGCCCAGGGGTGGGGGATCCCAGATTGGGGCAGCAGGGAGAGGGAGGGTCCGGAGGTGTGAGGGGCCCTGCTGTCACAGCATGGTGACACTGCCATGGTGACACTGCCACAGTGACACTGCCGGGGTGTCACTGCCAGGGCGTCACTGCCACAGTGACAATGCCAGGGTGACATTGCCAGTATAACACTGCCAGGGTGACAATGCCAGGGTGACACTGCCAGGGTGACACTGCCAGGGTGACCCTGCCACAGTGACAATGCCAGGGTGACACTGCCACGGTGACATTGCCAGTATAACACTGCCAGGGAGACAATGCCAGGGTGACACTGCCACGGTGACACTGCCACGGTGACATTGCCAGTATAACACTGCCAGGGTGACAATGCCAGGATGACACTGCCAGGGTGACAATGCCAGGGTGACACTGCCACGGTGACATTGCCAGGGTGTCACTGCCGGGGTGACACTGCCATGGTGACACTGCCATGGTGACACTGCCAGGGTGACCCTGCCAGGGTGACACTGCCATGGTGACACTGCCACAGTGACATTGCCAGGGTGTCGCTGCCACGGTGACAATGCCAGGGTGACACTGCCATGATGACATTGCCACCGTGACACTGCCACCGTGACACTGCCATGGTGACCCTGCCAGGGTGTCACTGCCAGGGTGACACTGCCGGGGTGACCCTGCCGGGGTGACACTGCCATGGTGTCACTGCCAGGGTGACACTGCCACGGTGACACTGCCAGAGTGACCCTGCCATGGTGACACTTCCATGGTGACACTGCCAGGGTGTCACTGCCGGGGTGACACTGCCACGGTGACATTGCCAGGGTGACACTGCCAGGGTGACCCTGCCATGGTGACCCTGCCGGGGTGACACTGCCAGGGTGACACTGCCAGGGTGACACTGCCATGGTGTCACTGCCGGGGTGACACTGCCAGGGTGACACTGCCAGGGTGACCCTGCCACGGTGACCCTGCCAGTATAACAATGCCAGGGTGACACTGCCACGGTGACACTGCATGGTGACACTGCCAGGGTGTCACTGCCATGGCGAAACTGCCACGGTGACATTGCCATAGTGACACTGCTATGGTGACACTGCCAGGGTGACCCTGCCGGGGTGTCACTGCCAGGGTTTCACTGCCAGTATAACACTGCCAGGATAACACTGCCAGGGTGACAATGCCAGGGTGACCCTGCCGGGGTGACACTGCTAGGGTGACACTGCCAGGGTGACCCTGCCATGGCGACCCTGCCATGGTGACCCTGCCATGGTGACCCTGCCATGTTGACACTGCCAGGGTGTCACTGCCACGGTGACACTGCTGGGGTAACACTGCCACGGTGACACTGCCGGGGTGACCCTGCCAGTATAACAATGCCAGGGTGACACTGCCAGGGTGACACTACTACGGTGACACTGCCAGGGTGTCACTGCCATGGTGAAACTGCCACGGTGACATTGACATAGTGACACTGCTATGGTGACACTGCCAGGGTGACCCTGCCGGGGTGTCACTGCCAGGGTGTCACTGCCAGGGTGAGCCAGCATGGTAACACTGCCATGGTGACAATGCCACGGTGACACTGCCGGGGTGACACTGCCAGGGTGTCACTGCCATGGTGAGCCAGCATGGTGACACTGCCAGGGTGACACTGCCAGGGCACACAGCAGCGCCTCTGCACCCTGGCCATGCTGCTGGGCAGGGCCAGGGCCC